TCACAAGCACCTAGTCACAGTAGACATTTTATCACATAATGATGCATCATGAATCCCTTCTGAGTTAAAAAAAAAAAAAAAAAAAGGAGGTAGGAAGGTAGAGCTGACTGGAGAGCTAATCTGTAAAAATCTCACATCATATGACCAACAGTCATCTTATGTTTGGTACAGCAGAAAGCAGCAGAACAACAAGTACAATCAACTGAGGAACATGTCAGTGTGACAGGTTAATATTCTGCACCGCTGAGCTCATAATTCAATTCCAATATTCAAAATGTGCTACGATTGAACAAAACGTTGCTCCAAACGAACAGAACCCATTATCAATCTAAACTCCAAGGCTGGGACTTTTGTATTCCAGGCAGTTTTACAAGTATACATCCTTCCATATCAGCAGCCAAAGGTTACAAGCACAGCATATACTTACACAGCTCTGACCACATGTGCACATGCTTGAAGCAAACAGCAAATTCCTTCAAGCTTCTTCCCTACCCCTCTTCTGACTTTAACGTCTATGGCTTTTCAGCTGAATAACATTATGCACATAAAAAAGCCTCTCTTTTGCTCTTTGAATGACATAAAAGCATATAATGCCTACTTAACACACAATATAAAACATGTAGTAACCTATAAAACTGTGTGGAATGAGCATCACAATATGAAGTGCTACATAAAACCCAGCAATTTTAGCTGCCACTCAAAGCAATTACAGAAATTGTGACTTAAGATTTCCTCTCAAAGGCTCCAACCAGATGTACTAAACCAATTATTAAGCCAACTATATGTGCTTTTGCTTTAATTTGGGAAACACATCTTGAGTGTAACTACTGTACCATGAACATGGTTTCCAGGCAGTTTGGCCATTAAATGAATTAAATTACTGACAAGACACAGCCCTGCATTGAAGACTAAGCCTAATGAATTATTCATATTTCTAAATCTCTATAAAGCAAGGTTTCATTTAGGGGGATGTCTAATCCAAACTATAGATAGCAAAAGAAAAAAGTCATCCTTATGTATGAAATCATAAGTTTATGTTTAGAGCACAGTATATTATGGCCTGAATGCTGAGGGGCAGTGCTGTGGTCTGTGCCTTTTTTGGATTTTGGAGGGAGGGTGTCATTATGCCAGAGGAAGTGGTTTCTTTGATGGGACTGCCTGGGCATGGAGACAGCTTGTCGTCCTTGCATTTGGCATTTTTTAACAGACGGTATACAACAGTGTTGCTGACAGCCACTTTAAGCTAGCATCTGTTAGAAAACACACGATCTAGAGACTTTGGCATGACTGAATTTGCTATCAACAAGGACAACTTGTGTTATCCTTTAATATAACGACCATGAAGACATTTCTGAGGCACCAACAGTTTTAAGCTTGTAATTTATCAGTCAAAAAGTCTGGATGTTGTCCATGATTTACAACCACATACAAATACTGTGTTACGAACTTGCATTTCATGTGTTTGTTTTGTGCAGTTAATGTATCTGTTTATGTTAATTCAGCTGTGCCAGGGCCCTGCTCCGATTGGTGCGTGGATATACAGCCCGACGTGACTGGTTCCAGCTGGAGGACCCACCCATTAAAAGGAGGCCGGAGTGCCGCGGCGGGAGAGGTTCTCGCATCTCTCCTCATGACCCAGCAGTATACCTGTGGCAGCCGCTGGCTGCAGTGCTGTTTTGGAAGTCGTGGAAGTGGAGTGGGTAGGGGTGAGCTGCTGTTGATCACCAGTTTTCTCCTGTTTTGAATTAGTTAAGGAGGTCAGACTGTCTTTATTTTTGACTTTGTTTTGGTAAGGTCAGGAGTGCGAGATTTGTGTAGATTTGTTTTTGTTATTTTGGCCTTGGCTCACCCTAAAGCGTTGATGCTTCCGCTTTCGTCTTGTAATCGGAAGGTTGCCGGTTCGAGCCCCGGCTTGGACAGTCTCGGTCGCTGTGTCCTTGGGCAAGACACTTCACCCGTTGCCTACTGGTAGTGGTCAGAGGGCCCAGTGGCGCCAGTGTCCAGCAGCCTCACCTCTGTCAGTGCGCCCCAGGGTGGCTGTGGCCACACCTGGTGCTTGACTGCCATCACCAGTGTGTGAATGTGTGTGTGTGAATGGGTGAATGACTGAATGTGTAAAGCGCTTTGGGGTCCATAGGGACTAGTAAAACGCTGTACAAATACAGGCCATTTACCATTTGTTGTCCTTCTTTACCACTTGGTAAATAAATCACATTATAAAGAACGTATTTGTTTCCTGACGCTGCTTGGGTCCGGGGGGGTGCCGGGGGGGGTGCCTCACTCATGTTATTGCCTGGCCCTAGACGGGTCGTAGCAACTGGAATTGCAGAGTCATCCTTGGAGACTAGACCTGCCCTTTCTCATAGCAAAGGAATCAAACAGGATTAGTCCAAGATGCTCAAAAAACCTCCTAATGATGCAACCCAGTGTCAAACAAAGCCAAAAACAAAGTGTCAATAAATACAAGCTAAGTGTGACAACTACAACAAGCAAATCAAATAAATCTTGGTGAACAACAACCATCCTGGAAAGAAGTACTGTTGAATAATCAGCCATCAAGCTATCTGCAGATTTTGTAGGTTTTGTATTAATACACAGAATGCAAGAAAAAATCCCCCAAAATATAATAATTATTATTATAATTATTTTATTTTTTTTAAAAACAAACAGGCTCTCATTTGTGCCATCCTTAATGTCAATTCCACTATGAATATAGTAACCCCAAACTCTAAAATGTATTGGTACATAATATTGAAAAGATTTAGAGTATCCAGAGAAGTGTCTGCAAAGACTTCTCTTCAAAAGTAATATTAAATATCTGTGAGGCCCTCAGGTTGAACTGCATTAAAAATCCACTTTTGAAATTAATACCAGAAAGTAGAGTTTCGCTGCATTCATAACTGCAATTTAAATCTCTGCCATGAAAAAAGCCATAGCTAAGAAATCAAAAAAATGTACATCTCCGCTCATAAAAAGCAATAAACTAAAAATAATTTAAATCCGGTTGCTATCCCCTTCAAAGTTTTTTCATTGTGCACCACTTAGAGCACTCCTGCCACGTTTGAGTCAATTCCTGGAGGTTCTCATGACTTTCATGTACCTCAAACTTAAAATCAGACATCAACTTCTGTATCAAACTTAGTCAGCCTTCATTCTAAGAATTATCAGTGTAGATTAGATTTGGTCTCTGTCTGAGAGGACAGTACTTTTCCATGGACAAGTGTCCAGTGACCAAGCCATCAAGTGAGAAGGATGCTGGGCTACATTCACACAGATGTGCACTGTGACTTTATCCCCCACTGTCACACTACAAATGTGGAGTACTACTGTAAAGTCATTATGCATCTAAGAGAGAGCTTCTGACCCTCTGAACTTTATCTCATTTAAGATGAACTGCAGCAAAGTAGAACACAGTCCAACTGTTGGATGACTAAAGCTTTAAGCTTTTTTTTTTTTTTTTTTTAAATCATGGACACTTAGTCTTCTCTGCCAGAGATGAGAGACACGAATCCAGCTAGTTATTCAGGCACATTTCAAAAGACAGCAAAGGACACATGGAATGTGTCACTTGCAGAACTGTGAAGGCATCATTAATGCTAAATGATCAAGTTTTGGAGGAACATATATCACCAGATAATGTCTTTATCAAGGAAGGCCTTCTAGCTAGAAGGCTCCCAGCTAGCTAGAAACCTAAAACTACATCCTGCTGCTATTAAAACATCAAGTCCTGGTGCTAAAATGCCTCTGAAAATATACAACACATTATGCAACAAAAAGAAAATATCACACATCAGGTGTTGTTTAGCTGAAATACTGTCAAGCAGCAATTGTAAAATCAATTGCTTTTGAAGACTGTAGTAAAAGTATATGTATGCATCACATCCTTATCATTGAAATGGTCCATAGGGTCATGTGACTTCATCACAGACTGACCGGTTTTGTAAACCTGTTTAACAACTTGTCAATTCCTGCCATTTTACATGAAGAGTTGGTAACCAAAAGGCAGAAACCTGTATGACCAACTCAGCAAGCAGCATATTTGATACATTATGAACTTGGTCCCAGTGAAACAAAAAAACACATTCTCTACAACACACAAAATAAGGCACATTAAAGTATTACAAACATATGCTATTAAAGTAAATACTATGACATTACACAAGTATGTAAATTTACGAAATAAATTACCTAATTTTCAACTCTTACGTTGTTAAAAATCCCAGGGTTGTGGAACCAAATGATTGGAAAGGCACTTTGTTTGTAACAGTAAATTCAATTTGTTTATTGCTACAAAGGACAAACCTAAGTGGAGTGCTATTTAACAGATACGACTTTCTTTAATGACCAAAACTGGCATATTGCCCAGAAACACAATAAATATTTGATAGATCTGATTTACAGAATAATCATGTAAAACTGTTTTCGTTCTTCAACATAACCCTGTGACAAAAACTCAAATTTGAATTCAACCGAATTTGTGATGAAAAGCTGGTCTTTAAAAAGGCCAGATGATGCTTTAGAAACAGTTAGCTATTGTTTGGGCTTTAAATATATCCTCAAGTCACAGCCTGACTAAAGCAGCTTCAGAGCAGGTAAGCTCTGCAGTCGAAGTTACTACAGAGAGATGCCCTGTGTGAAAATGAGTCACCAGTGTGGGAAACAAAGAGCCTATATTTCCAGAGTTAGACTGCTAACCCTCTAGGACTGCTGCATAGATGAGACAGGCCCCAGGTGTTATCAAAATTGAACTGGCACCTCATTCAAATCAAAGCAGAGATAAGATCAAAATAATGACGTAACACACTTATAATCATGTAAGAAAAGTAAATAACTCAAAAGCAAACATTGAAAACAATGCAAATTTAACCGCTGTGCAGTTAATAATCCTTTTATAATTTAAGTGTTTACTATATTTTATTTTCACATAATGACATAAATGTCAACAATTTTCATTGTCTGAGTTTATTACCCACATAAACTATGAAAAAAAATATACTTACTGTAATATCCATACAACACAGTATCTTCAATTTGCCCTCTTGTCTCATTGTTTGCTGCCCATTCCTGCCATGAGAAAGCCAATTATGAATATTAATTTTAACATTTGTAACAAGGCTGATTCATGACTCATGTATAACAATAAATGAAAAAAGTTTGCAATAATAGTTCTCAAAAAATGTATTTAGAATGACAGCATAAATAAATACCATAAAACTTAAGCCTGAGACAAAAGAAAAAATATTGCACTGATGAATGATTCAGCAGCTTACAATCACACAAAGCAACAAATTACCTAATGTTCAAACAAAAATACTATTAAACACACTGAACATATTACACATCTTGATGTAGATGTACACCTACTGACCACTTTATCCAACTGCTAATCAACTGTTCATTAACAAAAATACCCCATTAGCCAATTGCATGAAAGCCACTTTAGCCATGCAGTCATGGGGAAGACAAACGGCTAAAGTTTAAACTGAGCATCAGAATGGGCAAGAAAGGGGATTTAAGTGATTTTGAACTGGTGCTGATCTACAACAATCTCACACAGTTTATACAGAATGACGAGAAAAAGAGCAAATATCCCGTGAGCAGAAGGGAAAATGTTGCCCGGCCTGAGTCTCGATTTCCCAACTCACTGACGTGCAGACAACAAACCCGCAACTGTGCGATGCTATCGTGTTAATATGAAACTAAAATCTTTGAGGAATGTTTCTAACAACTTTCTGAATCTGTGCCCAAAGGACTCATGGTAGCTCTGAAGGCAAAAGAAGGTCTAATCCTGCACTAGCAACATATACCTAATAAATTGTCTGGCGACTTTATTCAAATGCAACAATAAGACAAAAAAATACAACTGAGAAATGCATTTAGATTTTAGGTTGAAGAACAAAATACTAACCTTATAAGTACCATTGGGATACTTCATGAAAGAAACAAGGAATATGTCCACTGGTAGAAGTGCAGACGTGATCAAAGCAATAGCCAGAGCACATATTGCAGTGATAGTTGAAATAACTTCACTCTCCCGCCGACTTTGAAATTTCCGAATGTAGATCCAACAGAACACGAGAATTACCTTAAAAACAAAAAAACAAAACAAAAAAAACCCAGTAATTCAAATAAATAATGTCGTCACGAGGAACACTTAAAATAAATAATAGGGCAGCAAAAACACTTTTGGCTTACAGAGCTCTATTACATGTAAAGGCAAAAGAAAACAGAAGTAAATTCAATCAACTAAATGCTTGAACAAGGTGGCATTTGCATTTAATTTGCAAAATGTCAGCAGGATTTATAAAAATCAAACTGAAGCAAACAAGCAACACACTAGAGGTTGGAAATCAGTAAAATTATGCTGCATAATACAATAACCTTGTAACAAAGTCTACCTTTGTGGTGTTATATATCCTTGAAATGTAAAACACACCACTTATAACACAAAAACAAAAACAACTGAAATCTAAGTATTAAAACAACAAGTAGGGCATTATGTAACTTTAAAAGCCTGACTGCAGGTGCTCTGGAGGAGCTGATCCGATTATATCATACTCCCTTCTCAGAGTGACAGGCAATAACACAAAGTCTTCATTTCGTAAGAAGCAAAATAAACAGACTTACTAGAAAGGTGATACGAGTGGTACACTTTTTAAAAGATTGTTTAAATTAAGTAATAACATACACATGTATTATCATGCTGTTCAACGTTTAAAGGGGAAAAAACGAACAGGAGAGAAATTGACATTGTAATGGGAGAGAAGCTCATTAGACAAAAAAGCAATAAATGGGCTCCAAAATGACAAGGTCATATTCCAGGCACATGTGCTTTAAGAGGTGAGGACACTGCAAACACTTGCCCCTTCAGCTTAAGGGCTGCCATTCGCAGACAGGATCAATTAAAGGCCCACAGCTTTACGCCTCCGGCTGCTTGCTCTGCCAGGTAATGGCGAAAGGCTCTGCATCCAAATAAGACCCATTGAGAGGTCTGAAATAAAAGGGTTGCTTAGTACTGGGCAGAAAAACAGAGCAATTTATTGGCATCCAGCCATTCTTCTGGAGGACTTGTAATTTAGCCATGTGATGTGGGTATGAATGACATTTGGGATAATGAGGGCTAAAATGGGCTGCAGATTATCAAGCTGAACAATTTTAAGACATTTATTTAAGTAGCCCACTACAGAAGTCTCAATTTATGTCTTGCTAGGGGAAGAAAACTACATAGTTGTCTTTGGTTAAGGTTGGTTAATGTAGTTTTTCCACTTTCAGCACTTATTTATTTGTAATAAAAACAGTGCGTTTAAAAACAAGGAGACACTTTACAGTACAGCTGGGTGGTTTTATACAGGAAAGATCTAACCGTGGATGTTACATTTTTATGAAATTAAGTAACAATACCAGATTCCTATTCTCCACAAAGTGGTGTTTAACAATTCCAATGTTACTAACAGTACGCAACACCAAAATATTCTAAACAGTTCACTGAAAGCCTCTTATAGGGCGACAGCCTGTAAGTGTGTCACGGCTAATGTTAGCTAAAACCAATCCAAAGACAGTGCTGGCGTTAATGCGCTGTAGCCATGTTGCGCCGATTAACACCGATGTTAAAACAACGAATTTGCCTACTAGCACAACTCGGGCTAACCGTTTACCGCTCCACTACTTTATAAAGCGACTACGTAATGTCGTGCTTCCTTACCAACAGTATAACGGTGAAAATAGACCACCCGAGCACAGACTCTGTTAGCAACGACTGAGCCGCCATCTTCACTTCCTGCAATAACAAACCCACGTGCTCCTGTTAACGTCACCACGGTGGAAAGACAGGCAGCTGACCGTGACGTCTCCGCAGGAAGCGCGTTCAAGCGTCAATGCTGAACTGATAATCGTAGATTTTTATCGTGATGTGCAGAATTTAAGTATGTGTGATAAAATACAACACGTCTAGTCTAGTCTGCTTCTTGACTTTATACTATTCTAGTGAACTTGAAAATCTAACATGATCACATTTAATCTTCCGCACAGCCTGAACCTTCTTTGACTTTCTTTCTTGTCATTTCTTTAAGTAGT